ACATGGCAAGAAGTGTGGCATGGAATAGTCAGACATGGTGCTGGGGAAGCTAAGAGTTCTACATCCAGGCCCACAGGCAGCACGAAGAGGGAGAACCACTGGGTCTGTCTTGGGATTTTGAAACCTCAAAGCCCATCTTCCAGTGGCACACTTTCTCCAACAATGCCACACAACCTAACCCTTTCAAATAGTGCCATTCCTTGATGAGCAAACATTAAAATCTATGAGTCTATGGGGACGTTTCTCATTTAATCCACCACACCTATGTATAGATTATTAAAATATAAATCTTTTGTTACAAGTTTTAAGCTACCTTTCTGTTACTGATTTTACAGATTTTTAAACCAGGTCCAGTGACTTTACAAATCCTGAAATAACAAGAGTTTACCAAATAGTCTTATCAAATCTTTAGATAAAGTTCATACTTTAGCAAAAGTTTTAGGGAGATGAGATGAGGCAGGTATTTAGAGAGTTAAATAAAACCACGAAGAGAAACATGAGTTAAGCAGTAATGATCACTGCTGAGACTAGCTTATTTTTTAGCTGCCTTAAATCACATAGTACTTTTTCCTGGACTGTTCCACTTTTCTCTTGTCCTTGTCACAGCCAGGTGTCCTGCCTGTCCCAAGACAGAGATTGTGGAGGAAGCTTTTAAACAAGCATCCACAAGTCTGTAGAGGGAGCATAAGAAGGGAATGGCAGAACCATCTTTTTAAGGAGTGAAACAGCAAAAAACAATTTTAAACATATCCATACCCCAAAGATATGTGACTCTCTGTGAAAATGAGTTTAGCGATTGAGGAGGGAGTATCAAGAATAACAAAGAAGGTTCAGAGATAAGAGATTCTTGAGAGTGGAGAGGAGAGAAAATTTAGAGATAAGAGACTCTTTGAGTCATTTGTGCAGTGGCAGAAGTTGTTAAATCTGCAAGAATTTGGAAGTCAGGTGTACCGTCTTTGGCTATTGATTGAGCTGTATTGAGGCTAAGCCGTTTGCATTAAGACATAATGATATCTGTGAATTTAAAGAGGAATCCATTAGGGAAGGAGGGGGAAGGTCACAAACAGGAACTTAGTCAGAGGAAGGATTTCAGTACACTCCAGGAGAAAACTGAGGCATGTGGGGAAGTAGAGCGAGGATGGAAAAGAGAAAGGTAAGTGTCCTGGTGATGGAATTTCAATCCAGGGCATCCTCCAAGTGGACTGAGAGACTCGCCAGAGAGAACAATCCCAAATCACAACTGAGATTCACCCCTTGGCATGTGATAGAGGCTAAGTAGGGCAAGAGAAGCTGCCTAGTTCACCAGTGTCACATTTATAGAGTCAGAGTAAGAGGCTGGAGTAATAGTAGGCTCCTGGAGCCAACAGAGACAAAGAAGGGAGCTTTGAGATGACACTCACCCAAATACCAGGAGAGAGCAGGTAATGGGAAGAAGTAGCTGAAGAGGTAGACTCTGTAGGCAAAAAATATGGATGGCCGAAGCCAGCAAAAGAAACCCAAATAATCCATAATTTACGAGTGTCAGGTCAGTGGTTCGGCTCAGATAGGAGAAGCTGAGCCTCTTGGAATTGGGTGCAAAAATCATCCTGGCTTTTGGCACAGGATGTATAAACTGTTGACATGACTGCTCCATGATGTGGTTAAGGGGGGAGATTTTTATTGGAGACATGAGAGAGTAGACAGCCAGAGAAAAGAGAGAAAGTAGCAGGCTGAACATGGTCATCCAACTGAACCTGGCTATGAGAAAAGCAAAAACAGAGCATGGAGGGGGATGGGAAAGTATCAGAGATCAGAGAGAGGCTGAGGAGGGAGACAGAGAGTTGCAGACAAAAAGTGTGGGCAAAGGGGGATTACAGCCAAAATCATCACAGCGTTGTAAGGAGAATGAGCTTGCAGAAGGGAAGCCATGAGCTAGGGGAGGGGAGTAGCAGAGAAGAGTGAGAAGAGCTAGGCTGTTAACATTGGCTCTGAAGTATATAACAGGCAGTTTGGATTCTGAGGGAGTCCAGAGGCCACCATGTGCTTTGATATGGTAATAGGCACCACAGACAGCCATTTATCCCATCTACAAGTGATAGAGAAATGGTTCATTTTGTAGAGGGGAATTGCCTTCAGAAGTTCTTGAGGGACCTTTGTCTAAGCACCAGAATTTGGGGAAATGGAATTTTCTATGGACCTGACACCTGCTCTAGTCTTCATCTTTCCAAACCTATGTTCTCTCAACTCCCCAATAGCTCAGTTTCCCTGAACTGAAAATATGTTTATGTTGTGATTTTAATGTTTTGTTGTATTTTTGATCATTTTTACACAATGTATACACAAACATACTGATGAATCAGCCTGCCTTGATCTTAGGCTTAAAAGCCATCTTATAGTAAAGACAAACTAGGTTCATTCCTATTTATGATTAATCTGTTTCTCAATGATAGGGCTACCCCCCATCTGTAATTTAAATACATGGTTTTATACTGACTCTTCCATGAAACAGCAACCATTCTTTCGTTTCCAAAGGTTATGCCAAACTTGTTATGACCTCCTTGCTATGACTACCTTGCTATGACCACTTTACAACCTTGTCTTTGTTTCAGGATGTTATTATGACCAACTTTTTATGCTTATGTTTGTTAACATAAACCCATGTATTTGCCTGTCAAATCCTTACTCCGTAACTATAAAAACGCTTACGTTACCCAAGTACAAGGCTGATCTCTTGATCTCTGCCTTTAGGGAGGGACAGCCCATCTACATGAATAGAAAAGCTTGCTTTCATCAATTGCTTGCTTTATTAGTTGGGTCAGTGGTCTTTCCACTCTGGGCTTAACTGTACTAACAAAGAGAGCTGTGTCTTTGAGTTGAACAACCACAGCAAATGTCAAAGGACAATTGCAGCTGCTGCCACAGAAGAGCTGCTGAGGTCACTCTGTTGGGTCTTAATGTGTGAAGAAGTGATTGCTTCTACTGAGCTACACACTTTTCCTAATTGACAGTTGCTTTAGTTTAGAATGACTTGTGTCTGAACCTTTAAATATGAAAAATCTATACATCTAAATGCAATCATTTAAAAAATTTTAAAGATGCATTTGGCCTCTACAGTCTCTTTAAATACAAACGAATAAGCAAATGAGTTTTTTAAAGGTCCAGTAAAGGGCTTCTGCCCTATCTTCTATGTTAATTGTTGTCTTTCTACCTTAGAGTAATAAAGGAGAACTGTACCTATGTGACTATAAAAAGATATCGTATTTAATAATGAAAATGTTACTAAGGTTAACAGAAAAATACTTTAATGAATAAAAATTATAAAAATAAACAAGAATTTATAATAAATAAATGGAAATGCTTAAAATGGATAACAAAATTTTTGAGTTAAAAAGTCTGAGTATGTTGCTTAAGGTATACAAAAATTATGAAAATACTCAGGAGTAATACATATGATATTAAACTTTCTAGGGTATTGATTAACAATTCCATAAAATTGGCTTTAACGTACATCAAAACAAGGTTTATTTTAAAGTATCTGGCTTTCATGAAAGGAAAATAGAATTTATTTCTGTTTCCTTGTATAGGACCAGACTTTCCAAGGCTGGTCTAATGCTGGAGCAAGTACCTCAGAGGAGTCATAATTGACGTTTCTGGGGACCCAATGCCTCCCTGGGCTGTAGTTATCATTGTAGGGTAGAAAGGGCCAGTGAACCAACAGCCTGTGCCTGAGACCAGAGCCCCTAACCAAATTCAGGACTTGAAATCCCACCAATTCCTGAGCATGAAATCCAACCAATCCTTGAGCGTGGCTCAGAGTCTAACCTCTGTTTCCCCAGCAAAGGGTTGCAGCCTTTGCTCTGGGAAAGGTTTCCTTAATGCAAGTGTGACAATTATGCTCAAGTACAAGGGTTTACAGCTCTGCTCTGCTCTCGGTTCTGCTCTACTCTGGCAAAACAAAGTTGGAACAACAAACCTCACGCAAGAGATTTATTGGCAGGGGAAAATCCAGGAGAGTGGCTGCCTCTGCTAGGGTGAAAATCAAACTTAGCAGGATGCAGAGCTTATATAGTTTATTAGGAGGGGTGGAGCTTCCAGCTCTGGAAAACCATTGGCCATCCTACCCCCACCAGGTTTCCAGGAGTCTGCGGTCATACCGCTGTGCTAGGAGAGCCAGGGCAATTCCTCCCCGAGCCACAGTGACACTAATGCTTCTCCAAGTGGCTACCAGATCCTCCCCGAGCCACAGTGACACTAATGCTCCTCCAAGTGGCTACCAGATCCTCCCCGAGCCACAGTGACACTAATGCTCCTCCAAGTGGCTACCAGACAAGCATGTTTCCAGGGACTCAACTAGATAATACACACATTTACACACAGAGGAACAGATGCACAGACACACCGACATGTACACATAGACACGCACAAGGACACATACACACAGAGACACGCACAAGGACACATACACACATAGACACGCACAAGGACACATACATACAGAGACACACATAGACACGCACAGACACACAGCACATAGATACACGTAAAAACACACAATGCCCAGAAACTCAGACCCAAATACACATGGAAACACACAGGCACACACAGAAAGACAGACACGCAGTCACACAGAAACACATGCACAGTAATATACACACACACTAACATAGAAATGCATACACAAAAATAAACATGTACATATACACACAAAGACAAGCACACAGACACAGACACACACACACACACAGACCATGCAGAACCACACAACATATATACACAGACACACAGACACACACATGCACACATCGACACATACAGCCACACATACACACACACACACATACACACAACACAGACACACAGACACACCATACACATGCCACAGATTACACAGACTCACATACAGCATACACAGACACACAGAGACACATATTCACACCCCACAAACAGATAACCCAAGTTCCCTCATGCTATACCCCCATCACAGAGACATAGCAAGTTCTCTCTCCCTGCCCAGTGCTCACCTGAGCAGGTGTCCAATAAACCCTCCAGGAACAGATAGTGTAGCAACACCTGGGTTAGGAATAGAACTCTGGGCTCCAGGGTCAACATCATCTTCATTCGCCTTTCTGAGTCATCTGAATTCAATTTGCACATTCAAAGTCAGACAGACTTCTCTTCCTAGTTCCACCCAGCCCAGGATGACAACAGCTGGGCTGGTGGGAGGGCAGCTGGTGCAGTCTGGAGTTCAGTGGAAGCAGAGTTGCTGGTGTGGTGAAGATGCTGTGGGGTCAGACAGCCCTAATTCAAATCCTGTACTTCTTTCCCAGAGATAATTTCAGTGTTCTTTCAGAGATATTCACTGCACTCTATGCAATAAGCAGGAAGGTTTATTCCTTATGTTATAACCAGGAGTCTGGAATATGTATAAACCCATCAAGCAGAAATGTGGTATTTGTTTTCCACTGCCCTTATCCACATTCCAACAACCCCCTTAAGTACTTACACATGCTCATGCAGGACCCAGGAAATTCCTGCTTGGAATCCCCCTTGTGCAGATACAAAAACAAATGATGTATGCTCCAAGTTAATCACTTACTGAGAATTAATAAAGTGAAGGAGAGTGGAAATTTTGAAACAATTTAAGTGACTGCTGTTTGATCTTTGGTTTCAGCTGTGGCATTGCCTGGATTGAGTTTAGCTTCTAGGGCTGAGCTCACCACCCATTGCTGTCCAGACTGGACTTAAGAATTTTTAAAGCAGAGAAATAAAGTAAGGAGAGACCGTAGCCAGAAGAGAGGCTAGGGAAGTTCATATAATGCCTCAACTAGTTTAGAAACTAAAGTACTAAGGGTGGTGGTGCAAACTTTAATTTCAGCACTTTAAATTTTTTACTTATTTATATATTTTTCCATTCATTTTACATCCTGGCCATAGTTTCCCTGCCTACTCTCCTCCTCTAAGTCCCTCTCTGCTACTTCCCTTTTGCCTGCTATCATCCACTTTTCCTTCATTTCTATTCAGAAAAGGGGAGGCCTCCCACGGCTATTTATGAAACATGGCATATCAAGTTGCAGTAAGACTAAACACCTCCCCTTGTAATTAAAGCTAAGCAAGGCAACCAAGCTTGAGGGGTAGGGTACCACAAGCCTATAAAAGAATCAGAGACAGCCTGTGTTCCCACTGTTAGGAGTCCCACAAACAGACCAAGTAACACAACTGTAATATATATGCAGAGAGTCTAGGTGAGTCCCATGCAGGTTTCCTGGTTGTTGGTCTGATCTCTGTGAGGCCCTATGAGCCCAGGTTAGTTGATTCTGTGGGCTTTTTGTGGTGTCACTGACTTCTCTGGACCCTACAATCCTTTCCCCCCTCTTCTGCAGGATTCCTTGAGTTCTACCCAATGTTTGGCTGTTGGTCTGCATCTGTCTCTCTGGTGACAATTGGGCTGGATACCAGTTTGGTCTCAGGAGATGGCCAGTTTATGCTATGTATCCATTATTGTTAGGAGTCTTATCTGGGATCATCCTTGTAGATTTTTGGGAAAGTCCCTTGTGCTAGGTTTTTACCTGACCCAGAAATACTCCTCCCTTTCCAGTAATCTTTTTCAGTACACCTGTTCTTTACCACCCCTCAAACAAGAAGGGTCATGTTCCCATACTCACCCACCCTTAGGCCACTCAAGAAATCTATTTTCTCTTCTCAGGGAGATCTGCTTAGTCTTTCTGAATCCCATCACTTTAATCCCAAGAAGAGACAGGGAGATCTTTATGAGTTTGATGTCAGCCTGGACTCTCTAGAGAGTTCCAGGACAGCCAGAACTATTTAGAGAGATCTCTCCTGGAAGAGAGAGAGAGAGAGAGAGAGAGAGAGAGAGAGAGAGAGAGAGAGAGAGAGAGATGGAGGGAGGGAGGGAGGGAGGAATAGAGAAGCACATGTGCTATGTAAGAAAGAAAAAGACTGGTCAAGTTAACTCATCCAGTGTGAGTAGTAAAGATTTGCTTGTTTCTACTAGATGGCATTACTCCATTGGGGGGGTGTCCTGCTCCACATAGGTCTCTTAACCTTTCTCATCTTGACCACTCCAACACTGAGAAATTAAGCTTCCATTACACAAGTATCTGGGGATGGCACTCAAATCATAGTGAAGGTAAAAAACCTCATTATCAGCCCATATCAGATTTTGTGTGACCTTCAAAGCCACTGCCTAAAATGTCCTGAATAAAATTAGATCTGATAGAGAGTTCTTCAGTATTTTTCCAGAAAGGAAGAGTAGGAGAGATATGGGTGTGGGGGTTACACAGAAACATGAGAAAGAACACAACATGTCATCCAGGCATGCAATGGTGGGTCTCAGCAAAAACTGCACTTCTGGGAACACACAACCATGTGGTCCCTGCTTTCTCTTCCTTAAGCTTAGACTGGAATATGATGCCCAACTGGACATAGACCCTAGAAATTGGAGCGGATGTGCCATCAGGATTGACCTGGGACCCTGTTCTGTAGGGCTCTTATTCTGGGATGCACAGGGTTCCAGGCAGCAGCACTGGGAACAGGGCCAGAAAATGCTGTTGGTTACGCAAATGACTAACATTCAGGTAGAACTGCTCCAAGAGTAGTAGATCTGGTTCCCTTATCCCAGTGCTAGGAGGTACAGTCATAGGCCAGTATCTGCAAGAGACAGATTTGAAATGGAAGTCCTCAATTTCTACAGAAGAACAGTAAACAGCACTGTTCAGATAAGAACCCAAGACTGGTTCATCAGGTCTACTTGTATCTTCTACAGAGAGGTATCTGTCATTTTCAGCAACTTAATGATAACTATAAATGGAAATTCAGATGACACACAGTAGCCATCATGCTCTGCACTTTTGCTTCTGAAGTTATTTTATTTTAACTATTTTCTTTTCTGAGGAAGGGTTTTTCTACACAGCTCTGGCTGTTCTGGAATTCACCATGTAGACTATACTAGCCTCAACTCACAGAGCTCTACCTGTGTCTGCCTTTCAAGTGCTAGAATTAAATGCATGTGTCAGCACACCCAGTCTTTAAAAGTTACGTTAAAGTCAGCCTGTAAAGGAACAGGTTTCATTGTGGTATTTTCACACAGATGTCACGATACATTCTTCTTGTTTTTCCCTTCCCTCTGCCCTCCCCATCTCTCCTGCTCCTGCATTGATCCCCTCTGTTAGGAATATGGTGCAGGGACTCCTTGGCAGATTCCTCTGTGGGCGAGGCACAAACATGCAGGCAGGGAGACCATAAGTGGGAAGTTTTATTAGAATGGGAAGGGAGAGGGTAAGAAAAGAAGAAAAAGATGGGGCATAGAGAGAGAAAGCAGAAGAAAGAGAAGATGGGGGCAAGAAAAATCCTGGTTCAGAAGAACAGCAGGAAAGAGTGGAGTTTTTCTTCTAAAGGGTTCTTTGCACCTGCCTACAGGCTACCGTGGGACACTGGACTGATCAGAGTACTGCCTGAGTACATTCTGCCAGACAGCATGGGGCATGCCAGCATAATGCCTTAATGCTTATACTCTCCCTCTTGTTATGTGGTCCTTCTATCTGGCTTCATGTCACATGAATTGTTACAGCAACTCTTAGACTAATGGTTCTCAACTTGCCTAGTGTCTTGACCCTTTAATACAGTTCCTCATGTGGTGGTGTGACCCTCAACCACAACTTATTTCCACTGCTGCTTCATAAATGTAATTTTCCTACCTTTATAAATCATAATGTAAATATCTGTGTTTCTCCCTGGTGTTAGGTGACCCCTGTGAAAGGGTAATTCAGCTTCAAAGGGGTCATTGAGAACCATTCCTTAGACATTAGGTTGTTCCCTTTTCTCTTATGATCTACTTTCATCTCTTTCAACACAAATGCATGTGCATGCACGCACGCTTGCACACACACACACACATTTCACACAATATATATATATATATACCCACATACATATGCACACAAGTGCATTTACACATACATCCTATGCACATGAGTTTATATCTAGGTATCTTGTAGGAGAGGAAACGTGCAATTTTGTCTTTCTCAGCTGGAATTTTTGTGACATAATAGCTCTAGCACTATCAGGGACATAGGTGTGTAACAGGGGACTGACAGAGTGCTTGACCATTTATAATCCAGATTGGGTTATTTGAATCCTCCAACAAAAGCTGGCATATTCACCATAAGCCATGTTCTTCAGCTGCGCCATACACACCGAACATCAGACAGCATAACGTATACCTGAAGTTCTTTGCGAGCACATGAACAAGAAACTACCTCAGTTATTTAGATATTGCAAGTTTTACCAATAAGGAAATACTCTTATTGGTGTGTTGTATTTACCACATTCATGTGTGCATGCGTGCGTGTGTGTGTGTGTGTGTGTGTGTGTGTGTGTGTGTGTGTGTAAGTCATGGAGAGATCCTGTGGAGATCAAGGCTAGCCTCAGGTGAATCTGAATCTGCCTTCAACTTTATGTGGTTTTTTTGTTTATAAATGAATATTTCTTTTTTAATTTTTTTATTTAGATTATAAACAATCTTGTTTCATGTCAATCCCAGGTCCCTCTCCCTCCCCTCCCCCCCCACCCTCCCCACTAGGGCCCCCAGTCCCCCACCCAATCTCCACTCAGAGGTGGATCTCTAGTAATTGTCATTTCATCCAGGGCAGGGCCTAGGCCCTCTCCCAAGAGTCCCGGCTGAGAGAGCCTCCCATATTGTGGCATGGGCACTCAAAGTGTATTTGTATGCCAAGGGTAAACAACTTTATGCTTTGAGACATTATCTCCCACTGAATCTAAAGTCTCCATTTTGTCTAGACTGGCTGCCCGTGATCCCTCCAGTCTCTGTTTGCCTTGGCTCCACTCCAGCACTAGAGTTCCAGGTTCTCACCACCTGGTAGGAATCTAGTAGAGTCATTGTATCTAGGGAAAGCATTAGAATGTAACAATTGTTTCCACCCTGATTCAGAGTAACAGAAGGATGTATTAGTTGTTTGCTGTAGGTACTAAGACCTTGAGGAAATTATTGTAGAGAACAGTGACTGTTTTCTATGATTTAAAGGGTTGTGCTTCTGAGGAAGATTTCCATCTGTGGCATGACTTTAGTCACGAGACTATCCGGGCATACTTGGAGCATCTTGCATTATTGGGTACTGGAAACAGTACACATAAGGACTGAGGCTGTGGAGGTGTAACGATTTCTTTCAGGTGACACGTAGAATAGATCAAAGGGACCTTGGTGTAAGTAACTTGCTTTACCCCCAAAACAACATTTGTGTATCAATCAATAAAGATTCCTCTGAATGGAAGTCCAAGGTTTGGTCCACAGAAACTGTTCCTCCCTGATACCAGAGAGCTTAAAATTACTTTCTGGGGTGATTCTCCTCCTTTGAACATTCTGCACAACACAAACCCTGACACTTTTATATGGATGATGGGATCTAAATTCTGGTCCTCTCCTTGTGCGGCAAGTATGTTACCTTCTGAGACATATCCCCAACCCCAAGATGACCACAGTAGAGCCAGATTTACTGTTACCATGGCCATATCCAGTGTTACCTTATGACTTAGCTGTGGTAAGAACTCTGCATTTGGGTGTTCTGTACAATTTTCTTCAGCTCAGTGTCACTGTCAGACAGTGTAACATTCACCCTAACTTTGGTTGCATGCTTTTTCTGGTAATCTTACTTTCAAGTTTTCTGAAGATGCATGGAGCCCTACACTAAAGACATTCAAAACTAGATGGCGCTTGCTTTAGCCCTTAAATGGATGGCTTTTGAGGTGAATGCTGTGATCGATGTCATTATCAGTGTTTGTGTGGCATTCTGATAGGGATGGGGGATCCTACACCATCACCAAACTCTCAAATAGGTCACAACCCAGGACAGGCCAAAATAGAGACAGGCTGACTTTAAGGGAATTTCCTTCTTTGATGCAGTCTGGACTTCTGTAAGAACAGATAATGTTATAGCCAGATATCAGAGTCCCCCCTAAAAAACTAACAAGGAGACTGAGTCCCATAAGTTACTCAAGTTCTTTTGGACTCTCTGACACAGCAGTTGAGAGTAGAGAATGTCCAGTCCATGGGGAGTAGGGATTTTATCATAATAAAGGTGGAGGTGAGGGGATTTCCAGTGTTCAGTACCCTGATTGGCTGACATTTGTCTAGTGGTGTCTTGGCAAAGGGGGAATAGGTACATGCTGGGCTCAAGGATATCTGGTGATCTTATCTAATGAGGTATAAGTTTATGGTTTTTCCTGTAACCTGGTGCTGCCTTCCCGGGGTCTACTTGTAGCTCGCTTTTATTAACGGTGTCGTGGCAGCAATGCCTAAGCTGTTGTGGACCCTACATGAACAGGGCTTTCTCTTACAGAACTGTGAGGCGAGAGGAGAGTGCTGACACCGCCCCCAGAGAAACTGGCAGCTCACAGTGTGCTACTGTTGTGCAATCCAGGTCATGATATAATGCAAACTCTTTCTGTAATTGCAGGTGATGACTAATGATTGTTGGCAGAGAGTTGGCTCTGAGACACAGGCACTTTTGTCTCCACAGGTGGTTGATGCTGCTGATACCCTGGACTCCTGTAGCTCCAGGCATGCTGGGTTCTGAGTTAGGGTGTGGCAAAATGGAAAACAGCACACCTTTCTGATGTAATGGAATGTGGCAGCATAGATACATAGATAGGCAGTACCTGTCTGGCCTCATTCAATAAGCCTCAAGGACAGAAAACATGCTTATTAGCAAGTTAGCCTTCTTCCCAACTCATAGTTTGAGAGAGTGCTATGACATGCTATACAGAGCACATGTGCTTGTCATCCTTGTCAAGGCTGGCTGTAAACTTGAGTTTATCTAGATGCAATACTGATGGCTTCATAGACCACAGCTCGTACTCAAGGTGTAGGCATTGATTTTATTTCTTCCCCTTGGGATTTGCTTGGTGGAAGCTGTCATATCCCAGTATCACAAAGATCAAGGGTTATAGTGGAAGAATGATGGCATTGAAAAAAGGAAACAAAAGCCTGGACACCTTCACTCCAGTTCCTCCCTGGGTTACAGAAGATGGTGGTAGAAAAATTTTAAGAGACTCAGGAAGTCTGCTGTGCATCTTCTAGATACACCAGGGAGCTGCACCTATGAAATCTCAACCATATGACTCTCCAAATAAGACCTGAGTAAGGACACCTCCAGTTGATCTCAACATGGATGGGATAAATCACACAGGGTCCAACCCCAACAAGCAATTGATGACTTCTGAGAGAGGGAGACTTAGACTTCCCCAGAGATGAGACTTCTTATGGGTTATTCAATACCAAGTGTCAGCCCTAGAAACATGCAAGAAACATTAAAGACACATAAGACTTAAGTGGTTGATTTATACATTTATTTGTTATGTGTATTCAAAATAGAGGGAATACTGGTAGTGGAAAGGTTTAAGAAGGGATAGAGAAAATGTGGGAAATATCGGGGTATTAAAAAGCCATATGATCAATCCACTAGGTGAGGTCCTTTAAATAAAACTGGCTTTTCCTCTCATAGCAACTATCAGTTGACAATATCTTCTTAGCTATGGTAGGACTTCATTCCTACTCTTCCCACATTGGGATTTTGTCTGGCTTGAGTCTGTATGTGAAAGTGCCCTGCTGTTTCCAGAGAAAGACTGTTTCCTTGTAGTCATCCACTGCCTTTGGGTGTTACAACCTGTGGTGGCATCTTGCTTTGCCAGTGAACTTGTGATGGTGGCCACCCTCTACGGTCATGGCTTTGGGAGTTTAGATGTGTTCCATTATGAGGTAAAGGAGGGGCTGGTTCACTCTCTTGGGTTTTGGTGACAGCATCAGGAGGGCAGAGACTGCGTCATCTGGAGTGGGAAGACCACGGCAGTCATTTACTATTATTTGTGTAAGTGATTCTCTAATAAATACCTGTTTGTAATTTATTTGGATCTTGCAGACTCATTTAAACTCTGCCTTCAACAACCTTTCATCCTTACTCCATAATTTGGGTAAGTGGAGGAGGAAGGAGTGATGTATCTAGGAGTTAGGTGAGTGAATTAATGTGATTATCACATAGTTTTACAACTAAAAATGATAAAAATGAGATAGAGAAAAGAAGAAAAAGCTCTATATAAACCTACAGTCTTGTAAACAGAAGTTGGAAAGGAGGTACCCTACATGGCTGGAAAAAGCTGCCCTTGAAGTTATGGACTATTGAACAAAAACTCCAGTACCACAAGTAGTACTGCTCATGATTGGTTGATCTGGGAGACCCTGAAGGCTGAAGAAACAACACAGCCTTTTGAACCTGCTCTTGGTCGCCCATCAGAACTGAATGTTGAAGACATCACACATCATAGTCACATGACACAGAGCCATGAAGATGGAGCTGTGTTTGAAGCCTCCTTCCTAAATGGTAACTTTCATAGTGCCAGAAGATGCAATGCAGACTTTTGGAAGAGAAAAGTCTTAACCAGCTATGAATCCAACTATAATGTCATCCTTCCAAGAAAGATGAGCAACAGTGGCAACAGATGTTACACGGGAAACCAATATGCATTCTGATTGTATTGGAGGTTCACTTCACAGGAGGGTTTCCATATGTGGTACCATAAACTCACTCAAAATCCCATGGCATGGAAGGTCATATGACCTGATGGTGTGGGTTGTGTGTGTGTGCGTGTGTGTGCGCGTGTGCATGGGTATATACTTACTTCCATTGTTTAGTTATATTTATAAATCACTAGACCATTTTCTAATTAAGCATGTCCATGCTCACAGACAGTGAACATTCTTGGCTTTAATCAGAGAGTCTCCTCTTTGTTTGAAATGCATTGAAGACAGAGAAGGGTAAGCAGCACAAGGTGCTGAGTGCAAGGGATTGTTTAGTGCTCAGCACTAGAGAAGACACTTGAGCATCTTCTCCTAGGTTCGAGGAACACTGCAAAAGAGGACTGGAAAGACTGCAAGAGCTGCAAGATGGGGAGAAACACTGCAAAATGCCATCTTCTCTGCAAGACACAGTCACATCAAGCACAGACTTAGAACTCTGGATAACTGCGCTGGATCTGCGCAAGACAGGACCCATCAGGAGCCAGGAAATGACGGAAGGGGAACTGAGAGGGCCGTGTCTCTCACTCCTGAATTGTTTCTTTGAATAAATTTGGGGGAAAGCAGCGTCAGCGCTTTCAACTGTGTGGCACCCGTGACCCAAACAGGCTACAGTGATTAGTCCCAACACAATAATCACACAGATGCCCCAGATTAAACTAAGTAGGCTGTACAACAACGCCCTAAGTCGTGAACCCAGGAAAGGCACAAGTAGGGGGGAGGAGATGCTTACTGGGATACGAGGGAGATTAGTGAGAGTGGGGAAAAGGCATAATGAGAATGCATTATTTACACGTGTGAAACCATCAAAGGAACAATTCAACAGAAGTAACAGTAAAGTAGAAACAGTGAAAAGTGCTTTCCAAATGGCTGATTACAAAATATCAGATTCTGAGAGTGACTTGAAACTCTTCTCCCCAAGATGGCCTAGAGGAAGTCATATCTGTATGAGAATTGGTGGAATGAGGACGCTACAGGGACAGGGACATGAGGAGGTACAGAGTGAGAGACAGAGACACATGGAATGTCTTATAGCTACCCAGATACAAGAATGTGGGGCCTTACCAGACTGCATTCATGGGACAGGGCTCAGGCAGCCATACTCTGTCCCTGCTTTCTTCTACCTCTTGGACTACAATAGAAAACTCACTGGCCACAGATTGTGGAGATGGGGGAGGATCTACATTTGGGCTTCATGACTGGGACCTTGAAGCTAACAATCCCCTGATTCTTGGGAGTGGAGGACTGCAGGCAGCAATGTTGAAAGCAGGGCCAGTAGATACACCCAGGGCCACACAGGCCAGTGCCATTCAGGGGCAGGATGATGTCACTGTCACAGTACCGCTCGAAGGGGGTTACAAATCTGTGCACCACATCTGGGTGATGACTGGCACAGCAATGGCCCAATATCCAGAAAATAATTCACAGCTGAATGACCTACATGGGGCTGCCTAGGACCCCATCCACAAGCCCATCCCCTCCCTCCTCACTCTGTGGCCCATTCTCCCCTGCAGTCCTTACAGAGTGCAGGAGTGCAGAAGCCAGGGCTGCAGCTGAGATGAAGGAAGGAAGGATGATGTGCAAGGTGCAGCTAGCAGGCCAAGATGGAGGCCAGAAGATGGTGCCACTGAGTCATTTGAGGCTAATAGCTCAGGGTGAGTAAGAAACTGGCAGGTGTCCTGGCTTAGGAATGACACTCGAGGAAATGTGGGGTGGGGGAGGGGCCCACAAAGAGCAGGATTGGAAGTCACAGACACTGGAAATGCAGAGCAATCAGAGAGTCAGGAAGGATGCTTGGTGTGTGTGGGGGGGGTAGGGAGTGTACCAGTTGTGGGACTGAGAACAGAGCAAGTAAGAAACATGAATTTGATGTTCAGCGATGCAGGATGGGAATCATAACACCTATGTTCCCCTTGGTTTGATGTCTCCTTACCTAAGATCCCAGTAGTCACCACGGTTCTGCTTCTGCTGCAGAGCAGCCAGAGTCGAAGAAGGAGCAGCAGTAGTGAAGATTCTGGGGATTTGAGTTGTTATTTATACACCAAGGGAAGGGGTGGGGCAGGAAGGGTAATAGACCGTTATGTGCTCTCCCAATCTAGTCACGTACAGAACACAGCCCCAGGAACGCTGTGGGAAAAAAAACCTGTGTTTCATATCTGAAATTTGACTTTGTCAACTATCTCTTTAGGCATGTTCTTTCTAGGACATTTTATTACAAATACTACTTATGCTAGCATATGAATTACAGAGGTTTAATACTACTCATATTACTATAAAACATCTTAAAATCCATAGGGTAAAGCTATTATGAAAGATCATCATATACTTAATTGGCAAATTCAAAAATTACTTTCTGGGGTGATTCTCCATATACAGCAGTAATTTAGCTATACTAATTTAAAATTTTTAAAATTACATTTATGTATACTAAACCCTAACCCTGGATTCTTCCCTCCCAATAAATCACTTGAATGGGGTTTCAATGAGATCTTCTTTCACTGGCAGAGGACAATCTGGCAGCATGAACAGCCACAAGGTGAACAGACACAGAGTTTTTATAGGCAGTCTTAGGGGGAAGAGTTTTCCAGGGTGGGTATTGGTTAGATTTCAATCCCTGAGCTTAGGGCGGCTAGATTGGTTATGTTTCTGCACAGGATTAGGGGTCAGATTTGGCTCTGGTTGCAGGGCCAAAGTGTGTTTCTTTGGCACTGGTTACAGGGTCAGGGTACATTTCTTTGGTTCTGGTTGCAGGGCCAGAATGTGTTTCTTTGGCTCTGTTTAAGGTGTGTTTCTTTGGCTGGACCCTTTTCTCTACAAACACTACATGGAGATTTCATCCTACACAATTCAGAACAATAAGACAAATGACAGGTCATGTTGGCAAGGATAGGATATTAGGGGAAAACTTCTCTGTTGCTGGTGGGAGTGCGAACTTGCACAGACACTCTGTAAATCAGTATGGTGGTTTCTCATGAAGATGGGAACAGATACATGTCAATATTCAGCTTTACCACTCTTGGGAATATACCCAAAGTTTTCTACATCCTAGTACAGAGACACTTGCTCAGTCATGTTCATTGCAACTCTAGTCATAATAACCACAAACTGGAAACAGCCTAGATGCCCATCAACAGATGATTGGATCAGGGGAATCTGGTGAATTTATGCAATGGAAGAGCAACCAATAGTGATGACAAAAATCTGTTGGTAAGGCCATATTGTTGATGACCCTATTTAAATACTTCGTTAATCATTGAGAAGTCAAGAGAAGCCTACCTTGAACCTTCATTCCTACTGATTAGTGGTTTGGTACTAGAAGGTATTCTGTATACTACCAGAAGATACTGGCGAACACCAACTCAGAAAGAAACCCTTGGACCTACAATTGTGAACTGTCAGCATGTTACACTTGTGTAATAGTGGCACAAATATTGTAGGAGTAGCCAGTCAATGATTGAATTTTAAGCCCACTCCATGAGTTGTAGCCAATGCCTGGTACTGCTTGGGTGGCCAAGAACCTAAGATTAGATAGAGAGTTGACACAGAAGAAAATCAAATATTATTATTTTACCAAAATAACATAGCAATAAAATGACCCCTAATGATATTTTACCATACTCATATATCAGGGACTCACTCAGACCTCATCAAAGAAGTTGTCTCCTGCAGTGACTGGAACCCAATATAGAGACCCTCTCTTAGGGTTTTTATTGCTTTGATGACCAAAAAGCAAGTAGGAGAGAAAAAGGTTTATTTGGCTTACCCTTCCATACTGTTGTTCATAACTGAAGTAATGAGGGCAGGAACTCCTACAGGCCAGGATCCAGGAGGTAGCAGCTGATGCAGAAGCCATGGAGGGGTGCTGCTTACTGGATTGCTTCCCATGGCTTTCTTAGCTTGCTTTCTTGTAGAAACCAGGATCACTAGCCCAGGGATATGGCACTACCCTCAATTGGCTGGGCCCTCCCACATTGATCACTAATTGAGAAATTGCCTTAGAGCTAGATCTCATGGAAGCATTTCCTCAGCTGATGACTCTAGATTATGTCAAATTGACAGGGCTGGAGAGTAGTCCTCAGACTGAATGCTTCTACCTTTTACACCTTCCAAATCCTTGGATTAAAGGTATGAGCTCTGATTCACTCTCTGGTAGCCCAGGGTGATATTAAACTCAGAGATCTATCTATCTTTCTCCTGTGTCCTGGGAATTAAGGTGTGCATCACCACTGCCTGATCTCTGTATCTTTAGGCTGGCGCTCCATGCAGAAACCTCAGGCAAGCTTTAATAAATCACAAGTAATATATTACCACAAGCACTGAAGTCGGGAGCAGTCTGAGGATCGCCCCTTCGGTCTGAGCATAAGTAGAGGTAAGTTAGTGGCTGGCTGCTTTGCTTCTCTGATCTTCAGTTTGAAGCTTGAACCTAAATATCAGTCTCTGGGTCATTTTTCTGTCCTGTTACAAGGGACAGACAGGGTAACCCTCTGCTATCTGAAAACAATTTGGGTACCTCTCAAGGCTCCCATGTTGATTTTGGTTCAATCATTCCCTGTCACCCCAGAGCAATTAAAGGACATAATGCCAATTGGAAAGAACCATACTTCTCTGGGTGATAACACAGCTTTAGAAGATGAAAGAAAAATTTCAGGAGACACCATAAAGCAAATATTTTAGCAAACTTCTGTAAATGATGTAAGACCAAAGTTAAAAATATGAGTAAATGGTATTGTACAGAGAAGAAAAGCTATGGATACGATAGAAATGGATAAAGACTACATATCTTGATTAGAATAGGTGATTGTTCATTAAACAGCATGACAATTCAATATAAAATAACTTGTAAAACTAACAAATTTTGTCATTTGATCTGATATTACTTGCTAAAAGGAAACCTCCCCAAAGTAATGGTTGGGCAGGGTTTTGGGTTTTTTTGTTTTGCTTTGTGTTTTCTTTTCAGGAGAGGAAAGGCATATAGCTAAGGTATCTAAGACCACTGAAGAAATGAAACATCTGCAGAAAAATGAAAAGTCATCCAGAGAAAATGTTCCAAGAAAAAGAGCAAATTGTCCTATTGGTATATCACAATTCCAGTAGGATAAAAGTTCATAAATCTTTCCAAATGTTTTTTCTGCATTTGTCTACAGTCATATAATGCAAACGATCTTTTCAAGTCCCAGTTCAATTAAAAATTAAAGCTGTCTTTGGAGTTGAGAGTGTGTCTCTCCTTCTAGAAATCCAAGAATGCCTGTTAAAATAAAAACCAAAATCTCTGTCTCAGGTCAGAAGAGCCACCTGATATGGAACAGTAGAAAAACCAAAATTAGGGAATATTCTATTTCCACTAACCTCATAATCCTTGTTTTATTTTGACTCTCTAAAACTTTTCTTAAGGTATAAATATTAGCTTAAAATTTATAATTAATACGTACATATATTAAACCTTTTTGTCATGATATTAATAGTCATATAGAATACTAATTCTGGAAAAAGACTTCCTCTAGTTTCCTGCATAAGACCTTGGGTTTAAGTCTCTATCAGCTAACTAGGGATTAAATTTTTGTACTCTGGATGTACATAACATATTTTGATCCTTTAATGTCTTTGAGATCTGCTGCATATGACATTTAGACAAGTTTTCTGTAATGAACCAGGACAATACTTAAGAGAAATCTGGATTTCAATATCCAGAAAAGTAGATCCAGGGTTGTACCCTTCACTTTGTAGTAAACTCAACTGCACGTTGATCAAGGACCTCATTGTAAGGCCCAATAACCTAAGACTACAAAAGGACAGCATAAAGGAATGATGGTTTATTGGTTAAGAGCACTGGTTGCTCTTCTGGAAGAGCTGGGTTCAGTTTTCCCCACCTTCATAGTAGGGCTTCATACTGTCTGTAAATCCAGGTCATCTAAGCATCACAATGGGATATATATGACAGAAGAGCATTTGAAGTTGAAAGGGCAATGTGTTGGTGGGCCAGAGTGGGTAGACATAGATATTATCAAGATCCAACACATATGTGCATAAAATTTTCAAAAAGTTGAAAAAAATCCATGACCAGATTGTTTTTCCTCTCAAATAAGTTCCCCACCTGTAATCCTGATATGTGATGTCACACACTCAGGAGGGTCATCATAGCTTCATGACCCTCACCTGAGTCACATGGTCACAGCGTCTATTTTCATTAGACAATGGAGGGTCATCAATTATCTACAAAGAATGAAATTATGCTTTCTGTTGGAAGGTGGACAGCACTGAGGAGTAATGTCCTGAGCAAAGCCAGGTTTGGACTGAGATTTCACATATCCTCTTACATGCAATACCTAGATTTTGTCCACATGGGGATACATAAGACATGATAATGAAAGAAAACATTTGAGGGGAAGAAAGGGGCCAGGAATGGGGGGAAGGCAGGAGAAGGTAATGGGGTAAAAACAGTGAAAATAACATCACTGATTCAATTATTCTGAACAATGAATATGTGATACTATGTTTTTAAAAGAAGAAAGGATAAAATTAATAATTGGTTTGGTTTTGGTGACAATTCTTCAAGATCTCACCCTTTTTCACATTATGCAGTGAGGTGCCCGCTGCCCACTGGCTCCATGCTTCTTTTTGTTAAAGATTTTATTTTATTTTAGGCATATTAATGCTTTGCCTTCATGTATGTAAATTCCCTATGTGCATGGCTGCTGCCGCAGGAGTACAAGTGGGGGTGTTGAATCCTTTAGATCTGGATTTACAGATGGTTATGAATTGCCATGTGAGTGCTGAAGACTGAATCTGGGTCTTCTGATCCCAGCATTCTTACACTTTTCCTTCCTTCCTTCCTTTTTTCCTTTATTTCTTTTTGTAGTGCTGGGAATCTAACCTAGGGCCTCATGCATGCGAGCTCGATTAGCTATATTCTCAGCTACATTCCACACTGTCCATAAGTGTGTTTGTCCAGGGAGCAGCTTGAGAGGGTAGATGTGTGTCTCCCTCTGTGTTCAAGAGTAGGATGGGTTGTTGTTCTGTACAGTAGTGATGCCATCAATCTTTCTCCCATGAAAATTGGCCTTGAGATCAGGGACTTTCTCCAGTGAGAATTGCCTGTGAGAACTAGGAATCCTGAAATGGAGCCAGCTGATGCTGCCTACATATTACTGTTGGGAGAGTGAAGCTGCACTGTTTTCTGACGCTGAAACTTTGATCCTTCTGAGAAATTGTGAAGGAGTGTCAGGTCATGGACAGGTACCATCTCAGCACCTTCACATTAATTAAAAGCTCATTAAGCCCTTCCAGGCCCCAACCCCGGCGAGCCCAGCTTCAGCTGAGATTCGGTCTCCGACCCCTGATCCCCTGCCCAACACCCATCCCCTCGATCTTCCGGGGCCACTCCTGGCATCCAGAAGACCTGCCCACACAGGAAAGATATCAGCCCTTACAGGCCTCAAACCCCCAGCGAGCCCAGCTACAGGCATTCCAGGCACAAAACCCTGGCAAGCCCAGGTTCAGGAAAGACATCAGCCCTTCCAGGCCCCAAACTCCGGCCACCCCAGCTTAAGCTTAAGCTTCAGTGTCAGCATCCCCAGCTTCAGCTTCAGGAAGGAAGGAGACCAGTGGAGATGGAAAGACCCCAACAGCACCCACTGGAAGAAGAGATGGGAAGAAGACAGAATAAGAGCCCACTCAGCAATAGAAAGACCAACATGACTCCACCAGAATCTAGGGAACCAAGACCAGCAAGACCCGAAAAGCACTACATAGACAAGCAGAGGAGACAGACCTGAAAAATTATTTCATGAAGATGATACAGACCGTCAAAGAAGAAACGAGGAAATTGCTTAAAGAAATAGAAGAAAAAACAAACAAAAAATACATGAAAAGGCGGAGGAGATTCAAGAAATAAACAAATCTCTCAAAGAATCGAAAGAGCACCAAGAAAAAACAACCAAACAAATGAAGGAAACAACTCACACAGTTGAAGGATTGAAAGCTGAAAGAGAAATGATAAAGAAAACACAGAATGAGGGGATGCTGGAAATAGAAAAGCTGGGTAAAAGATCAGGAACTACAGATGCAAGTATCACCAATAGAATACAAGAGATAGAAGAGAGAATCTCAGGTGTTGAAGACTCATTATAGGATACAGAGTCGTCAACCAAAGAAAATCTAAAAACCAATGAATCCTTAACACAAAATATCCAGGAAATATGGGACACCATGAAGAAGCCAAACCTGAGAATAATAGGTATAGAAGAAGGTGAAGAAATACAACTCAAAGGTACAGAAAACATATTCAACAAA